ACTTTAAATTTTACTGGAAAACTTGCGTTTAAGCTTTTTGGATTTACTTCTAATTACGAGGAACCATTACTAGCTGAAGCACCATGTACAAGATCGGAAAGTTTACCTGTTGGATGAATTAAATGCACTTATTAATAAAGACTTGCTTAAATCTACTGATCAAACAATTGGTTTAAGCAAGAGTTTTTGTTGTATCCCAAGACGGGCAAAAGAACAGAAAATCTTGAAAAAATTTACAATGCGATTCTCTCTATAAAATTCATATCAACAGATGTCGAACGTGTTTTTTCAAGCTGCACTAGTTTCTGCACAAAAATCAGATCACGATTATCGCGTACACGAAATACACGATTATCTAATGAATCGTTAAAATCTTTAGTTTTCTTTAAATTTTTTTACAATAAAAATAAATCATTCTAAGTTTTATTTCGAAACAAAAACATAATGTTAGAATACTTTGTTTTAAAAACTTTTTTAATAAACAATGCAAGATAAAAATTTTTATTAGTTTTATTATTTAACCGGAAAAATCGAAAGCCACGGTTAACCGCGGGTTTTTTTTAATTAAAACCGAAACCGCGGCTTTTTATAAATGCGGTTTTTTGGAAACCCTTTGCAGTCCGGACAACATAATTTTTATAGTCTTGCAGAATTGTTCTTCGAAGCTGTCGTCTTTACTTTCGAAACTAATTAACAAGTACATATCAGAGTTTTGTTTTCCAGCCTGCTGGAAAGCGGTATCTGTAACCCCAATTTTCAAAAATTCTTGAGAGCGAAATGACTCGTCTAACTACCGTCCCATAAGTCTTCTTACTATCATAAGCAAGGTTTTTAAGTCTTTAATTAACAAACACTTAATCTCTCATTTTGAATCTAATAACTCACTTTCTGATCATCAATATGGATTTAAATCTTCTCGTTTTATTGTTGATTTGTAAACAGTAATAACTGTTAGGTTTTATTGTGTATTAGATGTGGAGAGGTTAAGGCTATTTCTCTTGACATTTCAAAGCCTTTGATAAAGTTTGGCTTGCTGGTCTTCTCTGTAAACTCTTTTTTACAGTGTATCTGATAGCATCTAAAAGATTATTGAATCCATTTTTTCCAATCGTAATATAAAAGTTGTCCTCAATGGAAAGCACTCTTTTTCATTCCTGTACTCTTTTTCATTCACGGGTTCCTCAAGGTTCTATCCTAGGTCCTATAATTTACATTAAAGACTTCCCAGAAATTTTTGAATCTAAGGTGGCATTGTTTGCTGATGATACTACTATTTATTCTTGTTTTGATAGGAAGCCAACATTCTGATTGCTTGGAGGGGATATATGAGCTTAAAAAGGATTTCACCAATGCTACAACGTGAGGCTTTCAGTGGCTGGTAGACTTTAACTCAACTTAATAAAACTTTTTTTCAGCTAACCATTATAGCAACAATCTAGATTTTTCTATATTTATAAACGTAATGTACTCGATGTATAGAATATTGGTATCATATCTGGGAGGGATCTTCAAACGATGTCATTACTCTTTTAGATAAGGTGCAAAAACGTATTGTAAACATAATTAGACATGCTCTTGCATTCAATATTCAACCATTTTCACATCGTTGTAATGCGGCTTCCCTTTTCTATAAATACTATAAAAGGCGCTGCTCTAAAGATTCATAGTTTGTAACCTTTTAAGTCTTTTGTTAATCGTTATCTTGCTTTATAATATAATATTGAAAGAAGTGATTTGTTTTACAGATTATTATTTAATTGGTTTTTTTTATTGAATGATTCCAGCCGGTGCAGCGAAACGGTTAACTCCCAAAAAAATTAAATCCCGGTTGTAACTCTCCGGTTAATCTGTTTCGAAAAAATTCACCCCGCGAGTTAAAATATTTTTAATTACGACGAAATGAATTAATTTGGGGCTTTTAAATTCTCACGGAATTAAATAAATCTTTTTAAATACGCATTTTGTATAGTTTAGCTTATAATAAATTTCTATATATTTGTCTAGAGCAACTACAAAATTATGTGAGTATTTTATATATATATATATATATATATATATATATATATATATATATATATATATATATATATATATATATATATATATATATATATATATATATATATATATATATATATATATATATATATATATATATATATATATATATATATATATATATATATATATATATATATATATATATATATATATATATATATATATATATATATATATATAATTTTTAACTTTAACTATCGTTGATTAAAAATATATTATAAATTTTATATTTGACGAGCCTGTTTGGTTGTGAAAAAAAAAGAGGTGAAAATTTTATTAGTATTTTATTTGCACGTGAACATTTAGCTCACGTGCAAATAAAATAAACTTTTACTTTGAATCTTTTTTTATTTCAAATTTTAAATAAAATACTTTGAATCTTTCTTTATTTCAAATTATAATAAAATAATAATTTCTAACATTTTCAATATAATATTACTTAATTAAAAATTTCTGAATATATATATATATATATATATATATATATATATATATATATATATATATATATATATATATATATATATATATATATATATATATATATATGTATGTATATATATATATATATATATATATATATATATATATATATATATATATATATATATATATATATATATATATATATATATATATTCAGATATTCAAAAGTTTACATGAGTAGAGCATAAAGTATGTACAGGAGTGGATCAAGAATTAATCGCAGGTGATGTTATTAACAAATGACTGTTATTATATCAATAATGTAATCAAGCAATTAATAGAATTGTAAACAACCGCGCTTTAAAATACTAAAATTGAAGTTAAATCTCTTTTTTCACAATACGCAAAAGTAAAGATTAAAAGAGAGGTAATTTATTTTAGGTGTAAAATTGTTTCGCCGACAGGGGTTAACATATTTCAAGGAAGTTAATATATTTCGACAATCGATTAACATCCCGAAATTTTTTACGTAAGGGGATTTAGTTTAATAGGCCGGGTAAATAAAAAAAAGCAATTGTATTTTCTCTACGTTTTCGGAGTAATTGTTCAACTTTACGTGAATAAAAGTTTGACCAAAACTGCTGAGGTTTTTTCTCGCCTAAAACTGACCAATTACTGAGTAAAAGCAATTGCTTTTTTTTAGTCACCCAGCCTATCACAAGGGTTAATTGGTTTTATTAAACCGACCACCTAATTTTACTTTCAGAATTAAAACCCGAATCGATACGAGTTTGTCGCAATCCAGACGAAAGCTAAAAACACGTTAATTTCAAGGGATACTTTACTTGTGTTTGTTACGTTTTTTTTTTTTTTTGCATTTGTTACGTAAACTTAGTATAATAATATACTGTTTCTGAAACGGTGAAAAAAAACGGTGAAACGATTAATAAAAATTTTAAATTTGTATTATTTTTTTGGTAAACAGTAATAGCTAATTTCATGCAATTGAAATCTTATTCTTAACACTTGTTTTTTTTTTTTTGTTTTTTTTTTTTTTGTCTTTTTTTGTTTTCAGGACTTTTAAGGTGAGTTTCCACTCATCCGTTTTTCTACGGGATAGGAAAGGGAAAAATAATCACGTGAGCATGCTCGGACAAATTAAAACTTATAATACGCATGCCCACGTGATTTTTTTTCCTTTTCCTTTCCCGTTCCCGTGAAAAAACGGATGAGTGGAAACTCACATTTAAATATGCAACACCAACTCCGTAAAAAGTTACGCATGGCTTCATGCGTAACCTTTTAAGGAGCTGTGCCGGTTGTTGATAGACAGAAAATGTTCGTTTAGATTACTGATTTTATTAAACTGTTTAAAATTAAAAAATGAGTTAACTTTTTTAACATATGTATTTTAAATAGATCAAAAATTTTTGTTCTTAATAAAAACATAAGAAACATCGTTCAAAAACATTGCGTAAAATATCTTTTATTGTTGCTAAATGAAGATGGAGTCTTGAACTAATTTTTCTGCTAAATTTTTTACAAGCAACAATAACTCTACTTTGTAAAACCTTTTAACATATCGCGAGGTTAGAATTATTTTGTTCTATCTCCACTTTTTGAAAAAAATGAGTTATTAATTGTGTCGTGTACCTAAAAATATTGTTTTTCTACTATATTAAAACCTAAGTTAAAATCAAAAAAGTTTCGGAGAAAACATAAGTAATAAAAATCTTTTTATATGTCGTCTCCTAAAGTTTTTATTTTTTAAATCGTTTTATCTCGAAACAAAAAAATGTGGAGATAGAACAAAATAATTCTAACCTCGCGATATGTAGAAAACAATTACTACCGAACTACGTCAATGTCGTAAAATTACTATAGCAACAATAATTTCAAGTTTTAACAAAAATTCTATTGTTTTATGCATACAACGGTTACTAGCTTAAAAATAACTCAAAACCTAAATGAGTAATATTTTTCTCCTAATAACAAATAAATATATTTATACTTTGGCATATTATAGTATAGTACAAATATTTATACTTTGCTATATTATAGTATAACGCAAAAGCTATAAAACATTATAAATACATAATGAAAAAAATACATTAATATTATTAATAGTTTTCCTTTTACTGGTAAAATACAGGCTTTATAATTATTTAGTTTACAGGCATTTGGTATTGTTTATGTTTACTTTTTTTTATTTTAATCTATGCAACTGTCATAAGGTTGCTAATACAGAAATAATAAGATTGCTTATATAGAAAACTAAAATAGAATTTATTTTTTACGACAAGGTGCAATATTTTTTGCCACAAGGTGGTGCACTATTATTTTTGCGTGTTTGGCGCAAGAACTCTTACCGCATGAAATCACCTAATTTAGAACTATTCGTTTTAAAACAATTTATAATGTATATTATTTATCTTGTGTTTTGCAGTTAAAATAAAAAATTAAAAATTATTAATCTTTGTTTATTTCGTTTAAACAAAATAAATATAAAATACCCTTAACTTCCAAGTCAATTATAGCTCTTCATTTCAACCGCCGCATGCAATTTGATAGTAAAAGAATTTATTAATGTCTACAAAATGAGAATTAAAGCTCTTTTAGTTTTTATTAAAAAGTATCTTATCGTCGTAATAAAATTCTCCTCCGCCGTAACTAACATTTTCCATTTTAACGAGTTTATAAATTACGTCATTAAAGTAATTTTTTTGTACATTTTGGTTTTTAAAAGATATTGGATGCTTATATGACATTTATAAAGGAAATAGATTTTTTGTTTAAATCCATTCATATTTTCAGAAAAAAGTATAAAATAAATAAGAAATATGGTTTTAGGAATGTAACACAAAAGTATTTAAAGGACAATCATGTCCTCTAAATATGCAATCATAGTGCCGTGCGACACTATGATTGCAAACAGGAGCCGTGAAGATAGCCCGAGAATGATTTATGGTTGTTTTAAGTAAATATTGTTATTTTTTTGAGGTGAGAACCTTTTTACCCAGTGGGCACTGGACCAAAAAAGACATCTTATGAACGTTCAAAAGACGTTCAAAAGACGTTCAAAAGACGTTCAAAAGACGTTCGATACGTTTTTTAATCTTTTAAATTTAAGTTTTATTACTAGATTAATTCGTAAAGGTTTCGTGACCTTAAGTTTTTTTATACAAAATGCAAAAGCTAATCTTACTATTTTATTTTCTAATCTTTTGTCTTTTATCTTTTTTATTTCATCCTTGTTTATTTCACAACAGAGGCTTTATGACTTTATAAAAAAATTATTTTATTTTGTCTTTTTCAACTAACAAACGTATTAAAACTGAGATATAGGTATTTTATAAAGTAGCAAAATCTCAAGGATATTTAAGTTATTGTTGTCACTAACTTCATCGCAACTAAAAGAACATTCATTACAATTTTGCAAATAGAATTCTTTTTACATCAAAATACATCAAAGAAAATTTCCGTTTAGAAAAATAAAACTATGGCTACAAGACTATATTCTACTTGGAAATATTAGGAAAAGCATTTTACAAAATTATTTTGACCACCGCGTCAAAAAATAATTTAAGAGATTTCCTTAGGTCACTACGTTTAATAGTCTAAACTGCCAGCCTAACGAAAACTAACCTTCTATAGAGCCTATCCACTAATAATAGAATAAGTGAGATGTTGTTCAACATCCATCCAGTAATAATAACTTTAATTTACACAAACATTTTATCTCCGCTAAGTTTAATTTGTAAAATCTGATAAAAAATATAATTGTTTAAATGTAAAGATACTGATTGCTGCAAAATGTAAAGCTACTTGCTGCAAAATGTAAAGATACTAGCTGCAAAATGTAAAGATATTTGCTGCAAAATTTACCTGTTTTACTTACAAAAAGCAGGAAACTTTTTAACACTGAATGGGTTTTTTTTATATTTGGAAAGTTACATTACTTGTAACAACAAAATATGATTTATCATTTAAAGTGTTTTAATTTTGGTAATTTTTAATTTTCCTTAATGACAAGTTTTTGACAAAAAATTTTGACAAAATCTTAATGACAAAACTTGATCCTAATGACAAAAATTGACCTTAATGACAAAACCATGGCACTGCCTTTAATTAAATAAAAAAGTTATGGAACAGTTATTCCCTATCATATTATTTATTTACACTCTTTTTAAAAAGTTTGAAAAAAGTCACCCATAAAAACAGTATGTTAATTAAAAAAATATTTACACTAAAAAGATAAAGTTTTGGATAACATCACATAAAAAAGCACTACTGATGAAACTTTGAAAAGAGCTTAGTGTCTAATATTTTGTTAAATTTCTACATTATTAAATTTTTTCAAGAAATAAAAAGTAAGCGTTAATAAACTGATATAAAAAATATTGTAAACAAAGCAAAAATGATGTCATTCCTACGTAATATATAAAGTCATTTTTTACTCATCGTGAGCCGTACTTTTTCTTATTGATATTTTTGTAAATATTGTATTAAAGAGGTCCAAACAATGTTACACATAAAGCATTTTAAGCAAATGAATGTTGACCACACAAGATGAGCAAAGGGTTCACATATATAATTTTTGACCTACTACTGTTTGACCTACCCATTAGTGTTGCCATTCCCCCTTTAATATAATTTTTGTTCCGATGGGCCATATATATTAGGTGTGCTGTCAAACAGAATTCTAAAGTATCTTCCAGACGTTATTTCGTTGAAAAGAATCTCCTTTACATGCTTAAATTTAATTCAGTGTTCTTTCAGCACAAGGTCATACTTAGAAGACATTGCAACTATTTGTGCGGCCGTGGCGCAGTGGTTACAGCGCTTGTTTTGTAAGCAGGAGATCCAGGTTCGAAACGATTTCTGTACATATTTTCGCGTCACAGTAAGGAAGAAGGCGTGAACTTCCTGGTTAAATGCACTTACACCGTGCTCTGTGCCCTGTTTTTTTTTACCAGCATAAGTGACACTTTAGAGCGTTTTATTCAAATAATTTATGCAATAATAGAATTATAATATAATTCTAGAAGGAACCCCTGAGTTTGTATACCCCTGTATACTGACTCAGTTAATAGTTCATGCAGCATTTGTACAAAATGGTATCTTGTTACAAAAAATAGAGAGTATAAAATTGTAGGTAGAGATGATTACTGCTTACCATGCTGTTATGTTATTAACCTTCTAGCATACAGCATTGGTTAACTAAGAATAAAAGGTACATAAATTATATACAAAATTTAACTAAAATTGTAAATGCCATTTAAATAATAAAATGAATTATTCAAAACATAATTTCTTTTTTTTTCTCTAATATTTACAAAATTTATTTGTTTTCTTTTATTTTTGACAAATTTATTAGCCTTATTTAATTATTTTCTATCGTAGTTTGATAAAATCATAAAAAATCTATATTGGTTTCACCGCTAGGAACTTAAATCACCGCGATCTTGGGAGGCTTCAACTTTTTTCGGAAAAAATAATAGAATCCGCTATCCAGTTATATTTTGAGATCAGTGCTTCGACCGAGCGTCTAGCCAAATAATCGGTATTTGGCAAAATCACTATTCATGACATCTTTGGCTATAATAAATGCTTTTATTTTTAAATAAACGAACAAAAATTAAAGATTGGGAAAAAAATTAAATGTAGAGTTTTACTTTTTTAACAAATGGTTTTCTGTTTCTATTTTTTTAACTAATAGTGTACGTTGTAGCAGGGGAGAAAAACCTCAATGTCATACTTTGAATTAAAATTATAGAGCATTGAAGTTATGTATTCCGTCGGGATATTCTTGTATTCCGTCAAGATATCTTATTTTTATGTTTGATTTGACGTCAGAACATTTTTGTCAATTTCTTAAATTATATAATTTAACTCTTTAACCTTAGATAAAATCAAAATCTTCGTTATGATTATATTTCTAAGTATTTATTTGTGTATTTTATCTAAACACAAATATATGTTAAATTTTTTTTAATCTTATTTCTGTATTAAGTTATACTTCCGCGCACGCGATAAAAATTTTAATTTCATTCATAAAATTTTCAGTGCAATAAAAAAATGTTAAGGATTTTGTCATTTGAACTCTTAAATTTAAATTAATTTTACTGTCTAAAATAAAATGGATAGGAATAAAAAAAACTTTGGTGGAAAAATTTCCCAAATTAACGTGTTTGTTTTTTCGCTTTAAATATCATTTTTAAATCAATTGCTAAAACGCTTTATTCTTAACGCTGCACAGCGATATGAATAAAGCGTTTTCGCATTTGATTTAGAATAAAAATAAAAAATAAAATGTTACTCTTTTAATTTTTCCCGTTAATTAGCCATATTTAAGTTGTTTTTATGTTTATAGCTGACCATACCAGAAAAACATCATTTATTTTTAATTTTATTTTTGCAGATTTGGTTACCCATAATTATGGGAAGTTTATAATACTTTTCACCAAAATCAACCTCCCTGCTTTTAAACAAAAACAGGGATTTTAATTTTGAAAAAAATATATCTTATCCTAGTTCAAGAGTCTTTCTTAAAACCTACATATCCTTTGGACATATCCTAGTTCAAGAGTCTTTCTCAAAACCTACATTTTTAATGTTAAATATAGGGTAACAATAACAATTTTTTTAAAATTTTTGTTTTTGGTTCCCCAAGAAGAATGTCTTGGGGGATCAAAAACAATGTCTTTTCACAGAGCACTACGGAAGAGCATTTAACTGAGAAGTTCATTCCTTTTCTTTTCCAATGGCGCAAAATATGTCCAAAGCTCGCTTGCTTTTAAAGCAAGTGGTCTAACACCCGCTTTTGTGAATTTTGTAGAAATAATTTTTATTGGTAGATTAATAATTATTTGAAGTTAATTACTCTCTAAGGTTAACTGCTTTAGTAGTTAACGTTAAAGGGTAATTATAATTACCCTCTAAGGTTAACTTTCTTTTTGGGAGTAACGCGATTCAGGTTGGGAAACCCTGGTTTATTTATGTTACTGTTTATTTGTTTTCATTATAAACACGATATTGTTTTCGAACTCGTATGAGTTGATAAATTCGTTTAGGTTTCAATTTAGGTTTGAATTTGTTTATTCAATTGAAGAAAAAACTCTCAAAATTTATTAGAAAAAAAAGGTAGAAATTTCTACCTTTAGGTAGGATATGTGATATACTCTTACTAGAAATAATTTTCTACCCTTTAAGATAGAAAATTATTCCTTTAAGGTCGAAAATTGTATGAAAAATCATTGTTTTTAATATAATTTTCTTAATTATATTAAAAACAATGATTTTTTTTTTTAATCTTAAAAGGTAGAAAATTATACCTTACTAAGTGTATATCACATATCTAAGGTATAAATTTCTACTTTTTTTTTTCTAGTGTATATTTAATATTTTTTAAATAAATTAATAACTTAAACTGTGTATGTATTATATATTGGTTTTTAAACATTTAACGAATATTTTTATTTTTATTTACATTTTGAACATTGTTAGAAACTAACATTTTAAGAAACTAACTTGACAGATTTTTGTTGCATTGCTTAAACTTGAAATAAAAATAATATAGCATTAACAGACCCTAATATATCGTTCTATATTTATTTCAATTTAAATTAAGTTTCATTATCATTCAATTGAGAAATTCTGAAAATTATCAATTCTTAGTTTAATTAATCTTTTCAAATTTTAATTAAAAACTTTCTTTACTTATATTACTTAGTTTTTCTGAGATTTTATTTAAAAATCATCACCATTTATATAAATTTGAGATTAATGGAATATTGCTTAATCACTTTTTATGTGTAAGATAAGACTAACTCAAAAGCTTACATAAACTAACAGGACTAAGCTAAAAAATTCATACTATGATCAAAGTCAATAGAATCTATGTTCTATTGACTTTGACCCAAGTATAAGGAATTTAGCTAAGTCCTTAGTATTTTTGATAACTTCTATCTATTGAAAAAAGCATCGATTAGGGGTACAAGATTTTAAATGTTATATTAAACCCTGTTTAATATGTACTTGACTTTTTTTATTTATTTTAATATAAGTTGTTTTTTTTTATTATTTTAATTTGAATGGTAAGCTAAATTTGAATGTTCACATATCTCAGCGAGATTTAACAAGTTTCAGAATTTTTATTACTAAGTCCTTGATTTTGACGATTAATTAGAAATGTTTTGTAGAAATGTATTACATTGATAAAGGTACATACTTAATCGGCACTTTTTTTATGAATACGTTTTGCTTCAATCTAATTTAAAAGCAATCCATTTTTAAATCCAGTAAAATTAATCCATTTGAATTTTTAATGTAATGAAATCGTTTACAAATAAAATTTGATGTTATTTTGATACTGGTCATAACTAATCAGATTTTCAAAGAAAAATTTGTCCAGAAAAAACATTTCGTTGCAATGTATCTGATATTTTTTAAAGAATTTTATTTATAATTTTAAATTATTAATAAAGTGTCACAAACAATTAAAAACCTTTCACATTATTTCTTCAAGTGGTTTTTCACTGCAGTTCATCCACGTGTCTTATTTAATGTTTTTAAATTCTTAAAATTTTAATGGGTCAGGGTAACAAAATTAGATTTTACCATGTCTAATAACATCTGTCCAGCAACATCCGTAAAGATAATAATGTATAATAACATCTGTCCAACAACATCTGAAATTTCATTGCTGTCTAACAACATCTGTGCAAAAATTAAATGAATGTTACAGATGTTGTTACATCTTTTAAATTATCAAAGTGTAATAACATCTGTGCAATTACATCGGTGGATTTTAAAAAATATTAACTAATAATGCATTATTTTAACCAGATGAAGTTACATATAGTACATTTTTCAGATGTAACTACATCTGGGAAAAAATATTAACTTACACACTTGCGGAAAGTGTGGAGTTTTCTTCCACACCGATGTGTAGTTGTAACTCCTAGACACAAGTGTGGAGTTATTTTGCACACTTTTGTGGAAATAACTACACACTTCTGTGCAGAAATCGAGTTAGAAAAAGTTAATTTCCACAAAAGTGTGCAAAATAACTCCACACTTGTGTCTAGGAGTTACACCTATACACCGGAGTGAAGGAAAACTCCACACTTTCCGCGAGCGTGTATAACACATTAAATTTTAACCAGATGTTATTGCATATAGGAACTTTTTCAGATGTAACTACATCTGGAAAAAAAAACTATTAATACATCATTTTAACCAGATGTTGTTACATATAGGTTACATTAGTTTTTAGATATAACTGCATCTAAAGAAAATTCTTCCAGATGTTATTGGACTTGGAGAAAAATTAATAGAAGTATTTACATCTTCCTAAAGATTTATTAGAGGTTGTTGAATTTTCAGATGATACTGAACAGATGTTGTTAGAGTAAAAAAAAAAAAAGATGATTTTGGACAAAAGTTTACAGATGATATTAGGCTACTCCACAGTTGTTGACAGATGAAGTAATCTTTTACCATTTTAATAACTCCATAATTTCAAATTAACTTGGTTATTTATTTATCATTACTTGTTTTATTTATATCATTGACTCTTATGGCTTTTAACATCTATTAATGTTAAAAAAAAATACTTCAAATATCACAATATTTAAACTAGTTCCATTTTTTTTAATTGTGTAAAATTAATTCCATTTATTACATACTATAAAAATTAAATACTATAGCGGGATAATTCTAAAATATGCTAATCTGTCAGGAGATTATTCGTACGTCTCTTTTTACAATGAATGATAACATTATAACAATGAGTAAATGTATTTAAATATATTTAAATAAGCAAAATTGATACCAATTTTTGTTAGCGACTTGAAAAAAAATACATTTGTAATGAATTTAAAAGATATCAAAAGACTGTCTTTCTAATGATGTCAATGATGTACATATAATATAATTTTGGTAATAAAAAACTTCGAAAACATAAAAGCTAACTTTCTATCTTTTAATTTAAAAAAATATGTATTGGAAAACTCATTTTTGCTTTTGTATTCGACAGCTAATTTAAGTTAGCTATTTTGGCATCCTTGTAAATAAGAATTATTATCTGCAATTATAAAACAACCTTGTATTTCTGAAGTATAACTAATAATGCACCATAAAATGCACCAGTAGTTGCAGTTAAAAAATTGTTATGAACAAAAAAATAATAATAACATTGCAACTAAAAATGTTTATTTTTTTTCATCTTCAATAAGCCAAAAGAAGCGCATAAAATAATGACAAAAACGGACAAGCTTATTTAAAAATTTAAAGTTTTTAAAGTAGATCTAATTATTTACACAAACAAATTTATTTATAAAATTTATAAATTTATAAATTATATATAATATTTATAAATTATTTTTAAAAAAATATCTCAAGAATCAGGCATACCAGACGCGTCATAACCTATATTGTCCATTTGCAATTCCTTTTCACGAACGTATGTTAAGCTACTTTGGTTATAGGCATGAGTAAAATATTCATTTGACGGTGTAACACAAAATGTAAAAAATGAAAATATGAATGCAATTACACACGACCCTGAACCAACCCAAGTAAAAATAGCCGAGTATCCGTATTCTGATTGTTTCCAATACAATTTAAAATTGATTTCGGCAAAAATAATTGCTGCTAAACTACATCCTCCTAAAATCAAAAATGAGTTTAATAGGTAGTTAGATAGATTACAGTTTCAGGCTTAAAGTGTATATCGTCCACTAGACGCCTTAATTATCTAAAATAACACAAACAAGTAAAAATAGTTATCATTAAAAAATAATTCGAAGTAATAATAATGAAAATACAAAAAATTTGTCAGCACTTTTCAATCGTGACCTGTATCAGATATCTAAATCCCTTATCTGATTTAAGTTCATAATTTAGCAATAATTTTTATATTTTCTAAAGTCTCTAACTTTACTTAGTTACTGACTTTGATCCCGTTCCCATTAAATTTTTGGTATTAACTTAAATTAGTTTAGAGTTATTAACTGATGTAATACGTGGAAATTTGATACCTCAAAGTTTTTATTAATTTTTTCTTTTATAAAACTTAAAATGTTACCTACCAGCCATAAATGTGGTTACAATTAGTACTGCGCTACCGCACAACCAATATGCTCTGTTTTGAAAACAACAGAGTAAAAACAATACACTGCATATAGAAAACAGAGCAAATCCCCCTCCAATGATAATCAAAATTAAAATTATATCTAAAAATAAAATATCTAACAATTCAAAAATTCGAAAAATTTGAGCATCAAAAGCCAACATTACATATTTAGGTGATTACAAACATTATTACTGTTACAATTTATTAAATGTAAAATGTAATTACAAAATAATAATTATATTATTAGAATAACCTTTTTCCACAGCTCTTGGATCCTCAAGATCAGCATGAAACTTTAAAATATTTGTTCTATAAAAAACGTTCTTTCCAGATGTGATGCTCCATAATCCTATATCGGTATCGATAGTAATATATTTCCACCAAGAATTACCAACAGCACCAACTATCAGACATGCTAAACCAATTGCTACAAATGACGTTACTGCTACAATGAGAAGAGTTCGAAATATTGAACCCATGCTGAACCACCTTTTTGCACTTAAAATAAAAAACAAAAAATAAGTTGCCAAGAATACAGGGGATTTGTAGGTTCAAAATTAATAATACAAAAAAATATTTAAAAAAAGAATACAATATGTAAAAAATCTAATAACATTTATCCATTTATAACGAAAAAGCCATTAAAAAAAGATGATATTGAAATGATTTACTTTATAATATTTAGTGTCATTAATTCATTAATATTTAGTCTCTAATAATTAAATAGTTTAACAGTATTTGGTATCAATGATCCATTAATATTTGGTTCCAATAATCCATCAATATTTTAACTTGGTGATTCAAAAATAGACTTTCTTAATTATTTATAACTATTTGATCTCGATTAACAATTAATATTTAGGGGAAAGGCACCTATGATTGCATACTTAACTCTGAAGCTTCATTGTTCAGTATCTTGAAGAGCATTAATAAAAGTTGTAATATGGATACATCCCTTGTTTTATGTAGAACAATAATAACTTTCGGAGTTTTTATCAGTTTTGTTTTTTTTTATAAGTTACTCCTATTTTAAAAAAAAGCACAAGTATGCCATCATAGGCACCAGCTGTTCCTATAATGGCATAGGGGAGAATGGGGTTGGTTAGGATCAAAAATAACTTTATGCGCATACGCATCAGAGGTATTGCGTTTTATGTATTTTTTGGACCAAAAAAAACTTTTTGAGCATAGCTTTCTTTTTACTTTACTTAAAAATAAGTTTTTCGTATAAAAAAAAAGGTTTTTTGAACTTGTTAATATTGCAACACACCCAACTCGTCAGTATGTCATCATAGGAAGAAGTTATCATTTTCATTAAAACAAGTTGTGTCTGCCTTGTTCAAAAGATAAAATTAAAGTAAGTATTCGACTAAATACACAAAACTTGGATATAAAATGCATGAAAATTCCCTTTCTGTACAGTTAATAATAAAATCACAATCTTAAATATACAAAGGGAATAAAATTACAACAGCACATCCCAAAATCGAAGATTTTGTTGATTATAAAAAAAATATTTGTGCACAAGGGACGTATTTTCACTAAAACTAATGTAAAGCCTGTATAGTCATGTAGGTCTAATCACTTTTTCACCAATAAATTAGTATATAGACAATACCTCCTCCGGGAAGCTTTTCTTTGATCTTAGAAAAAGAACGGTAAAATATGTCGTAACTTAAAAATTTAGACCAAAAACTAACTTGTAAGTGTGATAAGTAATTATAATAAGTTAATCCTAAGATTAAGCAAGGAACTATTTGATCTTTGAATTTTACATATGTTTTGAATACAATTCAGTAGGGTAAAGCGAAACACATATTTCTAACGATTATATCAGGGCCAAATAAAGACATTTTTAGATCTGGAGCTGTAATTATAGGACAACCTGCTGTGGCGGTTACCTAATAATAACGATCATCCACAATTTACTAGGGAGTCAGAGTCACATTCATTTTCATTAACGCCTGACTTTAAATCTATTTTTTGGTTGTTGTTGTTTTGTTTTTTAATTGTCATCTCGGAAAGCTTAATTTTTTTTTAAATGGTTAACCAAGGCGATATTTTCTGTAAACTTTCTGTTTTTTTTTGAACATTTCTTTTTCTTTTTGTTTTGATGTTTTCACGTTGCGACCAATTTTAACAAATTTTTGAGGTTCATGACTTATCTTTAAGAAAATTGTGCTTTATTTTTATGGAGTAACATGCTGATAGAAATTAGTCTTTTACAGTCTCAGCAACATCTGGAAAAGCTTAATATTCAACTTATTTACATAATTGAGTAACTAAACTTACAGTACTTTTCATTTCACATTGTTTTGTGCTCGTAAAAATGTAACTTTCATTTGTGACATCTTTACTTGGTTTGAAGAACTGATCAAATATTTTTCACATATAACATTGTATTGATAGTTATCGTTTCCTTCAAGAGTTTCCACGTATGTTTCTTTGAAGTACGACTAAAGCGTACAAGCGTTTCTGTACACTATTAATTAATTTCCATTTTTTTTTAAAGCTGAAAATGATTTTTCTCCAGTATAGATTTTACCAGCAGCAGAGAAAAACATCCTTGGAACAACCTTGACATAAGGAAATACGGATTCGGGTTTTTTGGCCAAATAATCAGACGTAGAGGAGAGGTAACTCCGGACAAGGTCGTGGGGTAACTCCGAACAAGGTCGTTATGGCATGTTAGAAAAAGATAGTTGATAATCATATTTTTTCTGGCAAGAGTGGGTTCCATGCTCAGTTCTAGACGTGCAGTAGTGTAGCATAGATGCGCAGATTGTTCACGATAGACTGATTCAAAGTTTTTATCTTAGTTTCATGTAGTTTTTACTTGCGAAACATTTATGTATTGGCTATACTACGTATACAAAACCCAAAAAAAAATTATGTTGTTGCAAAGTATCACAGGGTGGAATGCAAGAAGCAAACTTGAGTCAAGTTCGACTTGAACTTTACTTTGTAACCAATAACGGCAGAGTATTTTTGAGGGGAAAACCCATACTCTGTCGCTATTGGTTGCAATGTAAAGTTCAAGTCGAGCTCGACTCAAGTTCGCTTCTTGCATTTCACCCTAAATCATTGAGTTTTTAACACATATTATATTTAGGGTATCTTAACACAACCTCATTATATTCATTTATTTTCATTTGTTTGGGTCGCGGGGAAATAACGAACGATCTTAGTTGGGTAATCACGAACGTTTATTGTTTTCTCAGTGTATATGATAATTCACGGACGTTTCTTGAATAAAGTTGTTATTAGAGGTGCGCGAATATATAACATGTTGCGAAAAAAACGTGTTTTTCCTGACATGTTTTTGAAAAACATGCCGTCGACCGAAAGAAATAAAACGTTTTATTCGATGAAAGCTTTTGTTAACATGGGTGAGCGAAAAATACTATAACTCAAAATGAGGTTTTGTTTTTTATTTAAAAAGAAGATTAGATTTATTACTGAATTGAGGATAAATGTAGGAGAATGCTTCTACATTGACTAATTTAGGGATAACATGAAAGGGAATGCTGCTACATCGACTGAGGGTTCGGGTTAAAACAAGTATAGATCAATCGATGTAGCAGCACTCTCCTACATTTCTCCTCAAATCAGTAATATATCTGGTCTTCGTTTTTTAAAAAAATCAAAACCTCATTTTGAGTCATAGTATCTTTCGCTTACCGTTAACATGGATGCTGCTATGCTTTTTCTAAAGAGTTTTTTGATTTTATTTTGTTTTGTGAACTTTTAGTTTTTTATAATCATTTATATTTTGGATATAACTGAAAACAAAATAATCTTCATTTTCCACAATAAAGATGCCTCGTAAAACAGACCCGGTCAAAAAGCTTTTTCTAAAAACCACAGGTTAAACAACCAACTCATACAGTTGCAAATATTGTGGAAAAGGTTATTCCAAGAATACACATAATTTACTTGTTCATATTTATAAGTGTAGTAAAATACCAGAAGAGTTAAGAAATGCTGTTGTGAAAGAAAAAGTAGCAGAAAAAAAAACACATATAAAAACTTTAAGTAAGACTCCATCAAGAAAAGGTAGAGATGTTTTTGAAGTTGTGTTTGTTGTTATTTTGTTATTAGTTATTATAAAAGAAATTTTTCTTTATTGTACAGAAATTACGAGATCAAGTATTGAAAGCATAGATAGAATAACAATTGATATAACAGAGTTAAAAGGATTGTCTTCATCTTCTGTTCAATCAGTTTCTCGTCCAAAAAAATCAAAAGGTCGATGAAATGTTTATTGCATTGGAACAAAAACAAGTATGTTTGCTTTAATTAGCTGCATACTTCTGATGAAAATACTGTTTTCTTTTGATAAACTACAAAAGGATGCAACAAAAAATTATATTGTGTTGTTAAATTTGTTTAAGTATATCAATAAAATATTTCAATATTACTTTTTAATTTTATTTGATACATGATTTTCACTTTAGACTAGATTTTATGAAGTATTTTTAAGTTGCATAATATAAATTACATTGAATTGCCTTAATACGATTCAACATAATATATATTGTTGTTATAGTAAATAAAGATAATATACATATTAAACAACTAAATACATATAAGTATATGTATTTAGTTGTTTAATATGTATTTTAATTTTTTTTTTTTTTAAGGAAGCTTTTAAATATGACTTTTCTCGAGCTATCTTTGCATCAGGGTTAAGGCCGTTTTCCACAAGATTTTTCGTCGTTAAACATGCGCAGATTAAACATTTTTGGCAATTATACTAACTTTTTTCGCTGCAGCGAAACGCTGTAGCGAAAAATTCATTTCGGATTCATTTCGACTTTTTGCGAATCGCCATAAGCGAAAACCAATCAGGTTTTGAATATTATATCACGTGATGTCAACATAAAAAAAAAGCGAAAACATGTTGTTTTTATAGTAACAAAAAACAAAATTCGTAACCTGGCGTTCTTATTAATTTTATATGAACTTACTCTGAAAATTGGCAAGCATGAGTAAATTCATCAAGCAAGGGGCAAGACTTACATAAAAAAATGACCAGATTTATATATAAAACTAAATCGAGAATTTACAAATATAAGTTTTCACACTTTCAATTACGAAAGCTACACTTCATAACAATGTTTATCTTTAAGTAGCCGCACGAAGATAAACCTTTTTGTGAAAAATTCTACATAGAGTTAAACCTGCTGTTCGTTCTTGCAGTAAAAGTTTTTTAATCGAAATGTTCATATCAGAGTTTAGCATTTATTTTCTAATACTTTCTAAAAAAACCTTATACTAAGTGATTATAAAATAATATCACATCTTACATATAAGGGCACAAATGTTAATATTAATGCATGGAAAGATATTTTCACATGCCTCAAAGTAGAAAGTATGCTAAAAAACTAATAACTGCTTTTAGTTAAACATACAGCGTAAACTTATTGCTCCCATTTTTATTGTTGACAACGAAAAAAAAAGAAGCGCGAAAGAAAGTAAGTGGAAATCAAAACAGCGGTTTCATCATAGCGAAAAAATTTGCTTCGTGCGAATATTTCGTCTTGTGGAAAACGGCATTTACCCTCTAAACATAGTTGATGTTCCCATTTGGAAGGAATTTTTTTTAAAGCACCTGCCTGCAATGAATTTGCCCAATCGAAAATCTCTTTCAGAAAATTTACTTGATAATGAATATTATAGGATAAAAGCACTAGTTGAAAAAAACATTTCTGATTCACTTTCTCTTGCAATTCAATGGGATGGCTTTTCCAATATTAGGTAGTTTGTTTACTTTTTTGAAAATTATCTAATGGTTTTAATAAACTTGAAAAACTAAAAGAAAATGCACAATTTAATAATCAAATCATTAAAAAACACTAAGTTTATTAAGCAAATAATATTTTTGTCTAAATTAAAATAGTTTACTATTCAAATGTCGGATATAAAATTAGCCCTTGATAACTTTATATCTGAAGCAGGGTTGACAGATTTAGAATGTGTGGAAATGCAAAATTATTTTACGTTAAGAAAAGAAATGTCTGTCACAAACCTTCACTTAGCTGCAAACTTGCTTGATCCGCAATTCTGGTATACTCCATTGCTTCCAAAAATTCTGGTTCAGAATTTTTGGAAGCAATGGAGTATACAGAAGTGTTAGCAAAAAATTTGTCTATAAATAATAATGTTGAATTGTCAGTTATTGCAAAAGATATTACCCAGTTTGTAAATTCTACTGGACTGTGGGCAAATAGCTATGTTGAGCAACGTGCTAGAAATCAAGATTCTATAACATATTGGCAAGTTCTAAGAATATCTAGTCCACTCGCTGATTTGGCTATTAAAATTTTATTGATGCCATCTTTTTCAGCTGCTACTGAAAGAACTTTTAGTACTAGAGGCTTTATGCACAGAAAACTTCGAAATTCTCTAACTAATGAAAGAGCTAGTAGGTTGACTTACATAAAACAAAACTATATGCTGATGAATTTAAACCTAAAAGGTCAATTGCAAGATTTTAAAAGTTCATTTAGCAAACCAAAGAAGAAAATAATTAGTTTGTATTCGCTAATTCAATCATCCATTAAAAATGCAAATAAAGTACTTGATTCTACAATATGTCATGCAGAGTTTTCAAACTGTGATAATTTCTCTCAAAGTATTGATGGCAGTGATTACGAGGATACAACACAATCAGAAGGAGAAAGCAATGAAAGTGAGTCTGAGGAAGATATAGATTTTGTGTCAGATTCCCCTTTAAGGGAAAACTAAAAAATATTTATTGTTTTCATTTTAATGTGCTATGAGTTAGTTAGTTAAGCGTGTTAATTTAAACTAAATTAGTCTGAATGTTGTTTACATATTTTTTACATATAATCAAGTGTAGTAGTTATTATGTTTAACTTAAGTATTAAAATTCTTTCTTTTAGAACAACATCGAACAATGAATTGAACCAAGTAGACTCCCAATGGCCAGAGATAAAAGATTTTATGGTTAAAAAAGTGGAACATGAGAACGAACAAGTCTGAAGTGTTTTATTTTATAAAATTTTTAGATTTTATTTTGAAAGATGATGTTTTTTATTGATAATATGATATTTTATTTTGAAAGATGATATTTAATAAAATAGAAAAAATATCAACAAGAGTCATTCTTGGGAATAAGGTTAAAGGCGACATAAAGTTACTTCTAGAATAGAGTTAAAATCAAACTAATCTAAATGTTGTATGGTGATTATTCTTATTTTGCCTAATTTCTTCTAAAAAGAGATTGTTCGGCTCCCCATCTACGCTTTTATACTGGAAGGATAAAATTGGTAAAAAAAAGAAGCCTTTTCGTATTTCGGCCTTCTTCTCGATTATTAAACAAGTTTCTCAATTAATAAACAACGTCCTTTATGCATGAATTATATTTTTATGTAAGAATGTCTACACCGACTCGCACAATATATAAGTCTTAGCATTTTTTCTGTTTAAGACCTGCACATAAATTTAAACGTAAAAAACTTGGTTACAAAAGTAGAAAAACAGAATGGTGAGATAAATATGCACCACTGTAATCAGAAAAGTACATTAAACTTGATCAATATTTTAGGTATATATAGTGCTTATTATGAAAAGTCGAATTATAAGTCAGAAATGAAAGAATTTTGTTAGAACTGAAAAAAAGCCTCTCACACAAGGTACCTGTTCATTTATATAGCAAACTATATTAGCTTTTTATATAAATCTACATTAGTTTTATCAAACTATTATTGACTAAAAATTAAAATAAAAGTAGACTGAAAGCCTTCGGAAACCTTCTCACATGTAAGTGCAACTTCCTTGTTTTTCATTGCGGTATGTGGCTCATCAAAACATTTTTACAGTCTGTTTATTTCGGTCAGCTTATGTGTTATGCGTTTTGCTCAACTGAATATTGCTTGGTAGGCAATATTAATACTTGATAAGCAATGTTTAATTATTGCTTGCTTAAAATGCATCATAACAGCAGGTTTTAATAAAATATTAAAAGTAATTTTTTTTATCCGAATTTGATAAAATAAAGAAGTTATATTCGCTATGCCGTAGAGCTTATATATATATATATATATATATATATATATATATATATATATATATATATATATATATATATATATATATATATATATATATATATATATATATATATATATATATATATATATATATATATATATATATATATATATATATATATTAATTATTTATTTATTTTGCCGTTGATAAATATTACAAAAAAGAAATTACAATAAAAGAAAATTCTGGCCGGAGCAAGAAGAAGACAGGTTGTCTTATCACCGAGCCCCGTCACACAAAAATTTACATGTACAATAAATGATAAAAGACAAAAAGACAGTATAAATACAAAAACAAAAACAAATAAAAAACTTCAGCAATAAAATAATTTGTAGCTAACAATCTTCCAGCAGAATAATTTTAAAAAATATATAAAAAAGTATATATATATATATATATATATATATATATATATATATATATATATATATATATATATATATATATATATATATATATATACATACATATATATATATATATATATATATATATATATATATATATACATATATATATATATATATATATATATATATATATATATATATATATATATATAAATGTGTATATATATTATAATATATATATATATATATATAATATATATATATATATATATATATATATATATATATATATATTATATATATATATATTATAATATATATACACATATATATATATATATATATATATATATATATATATATATATATATATATATATATATATGTATATATATATATATATATATATATATATATATATATATATATATATATATATATATATAATATATACATATATATATATATATATATATATATATATATATATATATATATATATATATATATATATATATATATATATATATATATATATATATATATATATATATATATGACCGAAATAAACAGACTGTAAAAGTGTTTTGATGATTTTGATTTTTTAATTATTGTCATTGTTGCTTTTTATTTTACTTTATTTTAGATGGACCACAAGACTACAAAAGATATTTGCGTTTTAATTAATTCATATAAACGCCAATCGAAGCCTTTGTTAAATGGTGACAATTTTTTTAAATGGTGAAATTTTTTTCTGAAAATAATTTCAAATTATCAAAAACTTGTCTGAAATTAAAAAAACTGAACATTGGACCTAAAAATGCATCTGATTTTAAAATATTCTCCAACAATATAAGATACTTGCTTAAAAAAATAAAAATCTTAAAAAAAAACCCTACCCAGTCATGGGCTGCTATTGTTAAATTTTTGTAGCAACCATTTAAATATGAAAGAAAAAAAAATAGTTCTAATACAAATTTTTACCTGAACATTGCAAGTGATTTAAATATTGCCTCAGACACAATTCAGAGAATAAAGTATGATTCATGTAAAATAAAAAAAGATGTTATATGTAGTTTACAAGAAAAAAAATGGAAAATTGCAGCAGAGAGTTCGTTTTTTGAAATAATCAATGACCCGCAACAATCTTACAAACAAAAAATTTAAAAGACAGTATTTTTCACTAAATTTGTGGAAATTGAAATATTCAGAAGAAAAAAAAAAAAAAGCAATTCAGCAGAATAAGTTTCATTCTTTAGATTTCATAAATGAATTGAGAACTCCTAAAATCAGTAGAACAAAGTTGCAACAAAATGTTAAAAAGATAGAAAGGAAGCACAAAATTGCTATCAAAGAATTACAGGAACATATAAAATCAAAGAGCAAGAAAACAAACAACTTGTAGAATAAAATCATTATTTAACTAGTATTATTTTAGAAAAAAAAAGAGATAATAGGCTACTCATAGAAACCAAAAAATTAAGAACATATGACCTACCCATAAGAAAATGTGTTTATGCTGCTATTATTAACAATGTGCCTGTGGAAAGTGTCTCATTTTTGTTAGAAAAATTTCTGAAACATTGCACAACCCAGAACTACAAGAAACACCCCACTCATCCACAGTAAATAGAATGGCATATGAACCAGGTGTTTTAGCATTGGTTCAAGCTGGTGAGGCACTTTTTCATTGTGAATGCGCAACAGTAGTGTTTGATGCAACCACCGTTTTAGACAAACATGTGAATGAGTTTCTTATCAGTACCTATCCTCCGCAGAGATGTTATTCCTTTTTAACCGTTAAACTTGTTGGAGGTTCAGGATTTGACTGTGCCACTCATATTGTCAGTGTAATAAAATATATTCACTTAAAAAATCAAAAGTTGTCTGTCAGACAGAGTACCTGTTAATAGTTGTGTGAAAAATATGCTTTAGGAGGAGATGGAAATTCAATTAATACAACTGTACTGCAACGTTCATCCATTGGAAACAATTGCCTTAAAAGCATTATTAGCTCTTAAAACAATAGATAATGAGTTGAAGATAAAACCGGCTAAAGGAACTGATGGGGTTGCAGTAACAGTCGTCAAAAATATTTCTAAGCTAAGGTAATCTTTTATATGTACATCTTTCATTATTTAAATTTTTTTTTAGTTTTATTTTCTTGTAAGAAATTGTTTCTTTATTATTTCCACAAAAATTTTGAAAATTTGAAATTATAATTTTTTTGCCCTTTAAAAATCAGATATAGTTTTAAAGGCGATCCTGCAGCATTCAAAAGCTATCTTAAAAAAAAAACAATGTTGCTCCACGGCTATTCCTTAGATATGTTGGTAGTAGATTTCATGTTTTGTTCCATATGTCAGGAATTGTTATTACATACGAAAGACTTATAAAAACCATTCTTGAAAAGTAAGTTTTTTTAGATGAATATTAAGTTATTCTAGCAACACTAAAAAAAAAAATTTGCAAGCTCTTACTTCAAGATATGAGTAATGATATAACGCTTGTGCAACTGCAAGGGTTGGGCCTGATAGGAAAAATAAAAACTGGGCCATGGATGAGTCTGGTTTATAAAAATGCAACAGGAAAGATTAATCTTGAGTTTGTAAGTTTTTAAGGTTTTTTAATAAATAGGTAAAGTAATTTAAAAAATGTACAAACATTTTTTTATTAAGGTGACATTTTCCAGAAAGCAATAAGGAAATTAGCTTACTTCAAAAGTAATCCAGAATCAATTCTTTATACAGATGTGGATATTTTTAGTCAAGTATTAAATATTAAAGAAGATAAGGTGCACCAATCCCTTCGTGTAATAAAAAATAAAAATATTTTGGTAAAGATTTTATCAGCTTTGATAAGCTACACAGAGACAGTTCTCAAAAGACTGATGGCCAGGTATTTGACTGTCAATCTTTCAAATCCATCTAAAAAAATGATAAAAACTACTCTATCTGCTCGACCTCATACAATGGAGGCTGAAAGGATCTTGGGCATGCTTGATTTTTTTTTTTGCGTCGTGCAAAAATATGCTACCTTTGGTTTTCTGGATTCTAAAATAAAAGCCAGAGTAAACAAAACATTATGGCTTGATGAGAAAACATTGCCAGAACAAGAAGACCTTATTCAATTTGCAATTCGCAGAGGAGCCAAAACCGCAAATCCTCTTTTTGTTTTAGGAGTAATTTTGAAAAATGGAAACTTGACTGGGCAGCTCTTAAGCCATAAATGGGAGCTAGATGATGGCAATATACATTTATTTTTTGGTAGAACTGTTGATCAAAAGGTAGCAACAAAAAAAAATCTATTACATACACAATAGGATATTGGAAAGTTAATGAAGATGAAGCTGAAGATTTTGACATAAGCCAGGAAGTTATAGCAGATCTAGTACTTAAAGACCTAGAATTCATTTGATAATTGCTATAATACATTAGAAATTATTATCTTTTATTTTCTTAATGTTGATTATTTTGTATACATTTATATTTCTTCTTTTTAATTTTTAAAATTTTTTATATTAACCAAGAGTAATTTTACATTTCAGATACTATACTTAGCATTGTGAAAACTAAGTATAAGTATGTTCAATCATATGTCAAATAAGAATGATTTGCTAAAAAATTCTGGTAATTAGAACTTAGGAACAAAACTATCTAAAAAAGATAGAACCCCCCTGTCTCAAATGTTACTTCAATGAGTTAATAAGTTTTTAAGTTCATTATTAAAAACTAAATTTAAATTCACATTTTTTAATGCTCAAAGTTTATGACCATGTTAAATAACTTAAAAAAATAACTTTAAAAATATCAAGAATTATTGGGTCTGTTGATGGATTTAAATGTTGCATAAAATAATAAATTAAAGTATTCTAATAACTTAGTCCTCTCACATTTTTATGTGGGGGTACAAACTTTTAGGGGTATTTTTGTTCTCAGGCTCCAACCACTTCAATTTTTCATAAAATTTCTTTCCATATTCTCATTAAATTTATATATATATATATATATATATATATATATATATATATATATATATATATATATATATATATATATATATATATATATATATATATATATATATATATATATATATATATATAGACACACACACACACACACACACACACACAATTTTACAAAAAACAAAATTTTAATTTCTTTTTTAATAAAATAGTAAAAAACACTTATGTAGTTTTGTATTTGATTTGTACTTTTACCTTCTGTAGGATCAAAAAGTATCCTGATCACAAAAGGTGAAACTACTTGAATATAATAAATGTATATATATATATATATATATATATATATATATATATATATATATATATATATATATATATATATATATATATTAATTATGTAAATAACAAAGCCAAAAAAAGACTAAAAAGTTTCAACATGTCCAGTGGATTTGTTTTAAATTGTATTGAACCAATGCTAGTTATCAGTAGTAGGTATAAATTTATGTTATTTTAATTTCTTTTTTATTTTAGATGCCACGAAATTATAATAAAAAAACTGAAATAAAATATAGGCTAGAGGATTTAAAAAAGACCATAAAAGACGTGAGAAATATAACTTTTTCATTAAGTCAAGCCTTTTCAGCTTATTCGATGCCTAAAACCACCTTATATGACTACTGCAAGAAAGAATTCATAACACAACCAAGAGGCGGAAGAAAATGTATATTCTCAGATACACAAGAAAAAGAGTTAAATGAATATATTGCTTTCAAATTTGCTGAACAAAATAAGCTGAACCATAAATTTAATAGGACAACCCAATTGGCAGGGAAAGACTGGTATTATTTTTTATAAAAAAACATTCAAATACTTCATTGAGAAAACCTGAGCCCACTTTGTTAAACAGAATAAATGGATTTAATGCAACAGAAGTAAAAATGTTTTTTGAAAATCTGGAAACTTTACAAAGAACTTATCACTTTGACCCTAATCATATATATAATGTTGATGAGACCAGTATTCCTAATGTTCAATGAAATTCCAAAATCTTAGCCTCTAAGGGCCAGAAACAAGTGGGTATGGAAACCAGTGGGGAAAGGGGTTCAACAACTACAGTTGTTTGTGCATTCAGTGCTTCAGGAAAGTATATTTCTCTATTTTTTATATTTAATAATCAGTTGTTGCGGGGACGAAATGCTGATATGCTTGCCTTCCCGCAACCTGAGTCAGTGACTCAGGTTGGATCAATGAAAATTTATTTTTGGACTGGCTTAATCACTTTATCTCAATTGCTAAACCAACCAAAGACGAACCTGTGTTATTAGTCCTAGATAACCATGAGAGCCATATTAGCCTTGATTGCTATCTACTCTGTCGTGGATATGGAATTGTATTGTTATCCCTTCCACCACACACTTCCCATAGAATACAACCATTAGATTTAACATACTTTGGTCCATTTAAGTCTGCATACAACAGGGAATGTGACATTTTTATGGCAGCAAACATGGGCCGAAGAATTACTCAATATGAAGTTGTTGAACTATTTACAAAAGCTTTTAATCGTCTCAGCAATATTGAAAAAGCAGCCAATGGGTTCCGAGCAGCTGGTATTTATCCGTTAGATCCCACAAAGCTCAATGATTTATTTCCAATCACTATCATTACACCTGAAACGTCATTACTTGATAACATTCAGAGTTCAAAATTCCAGGTAAACACAATGAATCAATAAGATACTCAAGTTAAATCATCTGAAGTCTTAGTTAATCTGTCATTGAATCCTTCTAGTGTAGGTCTGTCACCTGATGTGAATGTAGCCCCTGAACTGGTCTCAATTAGATCAAATCAGCCAATATCTCTTTTAAATATTGTTTCAGTACCTAATTTGCCAAAAAGGAAAACCAGAGAAAGTCTAAGAAAGAAACATTCGACTATTATATCACTAGTTCTCCAATGAAAGATTTTTTAAAGGACAAGCAGCAAAAGAAAAGTATAAAGGAACAAAAAGTAAAAAAGGCTGCTGGTAAAAAAAGGAAGGGAGCAACTTTAACAAGTTTGAGGCTAATAATATACCAAAGAAGAAGAAAATAACCAGAGAAGATAAAGAAAATGATTACTATTGTTTAATTTGTGAAGAGAAGTATCATGATCTACCAACTGAAGACTGGGTTATGTGTTACATATGTAAATCCTGGTCCCACGAGAAGTGCACAAGTTCCTCAAGCACAGCCAGAGGTTTTCTCTGTAATTTTTGCACGTAATTAATGGGAGTAACATTTTATTTTCTTTGAATAACATTTATTGATATTTGACATTTTATTTGCTTTGAATAACATTTATTGATGTTTGATTCTTTGGCGTTGATTTGTTTAAAATTCGATTCATTTATATTTCAGCGCTTCAATTAAGTTTTGCTTTGAGAAAATTTGAGTTTATTTGCTATTACCCAACAGTGTTTGTGAATACCCAACGGTATATTCAGAATTACCCCACGTACGTAGGGTAATTCCGAACACCAATGGTTTTGCTTTTGAACTAATTTTTTATTTTATAATAAGATATATGAAAATTGCTTTTGAGTGTTTCTAGACGAATGGTTAGACTAAATAATAAGCAATAAATAGCATAAATATATAATAATAGTTGTTTTTTATTCTCATTCCCGCTTAGCTGTTCGCCAATACCCCTAAATCCAGATGTTTTGGTTTTCTGGTTTCACCGGTACCAATTGCGTTAATTGTGCAAACAAAGATATAAATATCCAGGTATTCGTTTGAAAAATAAATTTTTACATCATTTAGATAGATAAATAAAATTTTGTGAACGTGTGATGTAATTGGAACAGAATCCATAACTGTAAGATGGAAAAGCAACAGAAAAGTAGAACATAAGCTTGTCTTCAAATTTTAAACTTAGCTTTAAGTTGATACACAATGATATATCTTAATAATCAATTTTCTTCTCCTAATGAAGCCTGATGCCTCAATTAGCGTCAACTTTCATGTTTGCTTTTCACGCTCTTTTTTGCTTCTGATCAGCAGAGTGCTAGTCGGTATCACAGCTTCTTTTTCAAATTTGTCAAAACTTGATCTAACTTTTTTAACAAAAATAGACAAAAATCTATACAACCTATTTAATTCTGTCAACAAGGTTTCAAGGGCTTGAAGCATTTTGTTCACTTTTGTTAAACCTTTTACATACTTGTGCTTTAGATGAATGATGTTTCTAGCTGATTTATTTTTTGAAAAGTATAATAGCACTGGTCTGCATTAAATTTACTGACAACTAAGTAAAACTGATATTAACTAACTTTGGGGTGCAGATTTCAAAAATTCTTTCAGTTTTTTTACAATCATTGTCATATTTTCATATTGCCAAATGTCTACTATTTAAGATGTGTATATATATATATATATATATATATATATATATATATATATATATATATATATATATATATATATATATATACAAACAGATATATGGTTTGGTTTATTCAAATCGGATTTTAACAAACTGGATATCCGGTTTTGGGTTAGAACTTTCAACAATGAGTGAGCATAAAGCTCACTTTCATAGTTAAAATCGTAGTTACCCACTAATGTCACTCATAGTTAGTAAAACCATAGTCTCCCATAGTTAATACCACACAGGATATCGGGTCCGGTTTTTGCTAAAATCCGAATCTGAATTTATCTGGATATCCAGTTTTGTTCACCCCTACCCGGCACTAGACTATTTCAGTATGACGTCACACTGCATACCTAAATCAACACTATAATATATATATATATATATATATATATATATATATATATATATATATATATATATATATATATATATATATATATATATATAGCCTGCTGCCGGGGTGAACAAAATCGGATATCCTGATTATGGGAAAACTTATTTTGCTTTTTATACTTATTGAATACAAGAGTTTGTTTTTAATAAACTGTTTAAAAGTTTTTTTTTGAATTCCAAATTTATACTATATTAAATCTATATTTTGAACGGTGTTTTGAATTTGAATTTTGAATTAAACTTTAAATTAGAAAATTAGTGCCCTAAAAAAAAAAAAATTAATAAAGTCTTTTAAGATTTCAAAGGTTTTATTTAGATCAAAGATTTTTGTACTTAATACAAATTATGAAACCTTTTGTATAAAATCATATGTAGAAAATCAATTAATTACCGTAAATTCGTCGTTGTCATAAAATTACCATAACAAATTTTTTTCTCGTTAAGACGTGTACGTCAATACATTGGTGTATTATAGTACAGCGCGTTAAAAAAAGTAATTAAAAATTAAGTTAAGGCCTTTTGTATCGTTTATGTTTGATAACTTTGTTTTCTATTTATTGTCGATGGTGTTTTTTAATTATAATCTTCTTCAATTGCCATCAATAAAATTTCTAACACAGAACAATTAAAAATATATAATTTTTGAGACAAGAGTTTAGTGGTCTCTTGTATGTTTTGAGCAAGAAATCTTACCGCATTCTTCTCAGTATAAAAATCCTTCATTTTAAAGTTATTATTGAATACTGATAACATTTATTTTTGTTTTGCATATATAAATTAAAAAGTTAAAAGCTTTTTTAATTTTCTCGAACGATTAAAAATACATAAAGAGAAATAAAAACCGAGCGTATACAAAATATCCTTACGTTCCTATCTTCTATCGCTTTTCATTTCAACCATTGCATTTTAATAAAATTTACAAATGCCTTTATAATTTGAATTAAAATTCTTTTAACATTTTTTTAAAAGTATTTTAAAACAGTTTTATCTCCATCGTTTTATCTATAAAATTTCTATTTCAGCAAGTACATAAATACGTCACTAAAATAAGTTATAAAGAAAACTTTTGTTTTTAGATAAAATATTTGAAATTCCAGAATGCTTATATAGCATAAATAAAGGAAATAGCTGTTTCATTTAAATCCGTTTTAAATTTTCAGAAAAAAAGTGCAAAATAAATAAATAAAAAATATGGTTTTAGAAATGTAACACAGAGGTATTATAGGGAAAGTAATATGATTTTTGTTTCTGAGACACTATGATTGCCTACAAGCTAAAGATATAACAAGTAGAGTATCCAACCGGATATCCAGGTCTCCTGTTATTCGGTATTCCACTGGATAATAAAATAATCCGATTGGCTACGCCGGATAATTTATTATAATTGATAATAAGAAAAAAACTTGCTTGAGGTACACAGTTTAGACTTGATCAAACCATTTGGTAATAAACAGAATATGAGAACCTAGAACACAAATTCTAAAGTGTTTATCTTTTGAAATAATCTAATGTTAGTTGATTTAAAAAAATTTTGTTTATGTAATTCAAATCAATAATTAACAAAGCACAAGAAATACAGATTTTATCGCTCATTTATGAATTTATTCGAATTAATATGTATAAACAAAAACATTCTTCGCGGTGAGGTAAAAGCCCTGGTTGCTTTTTCTCCTAAATATTCCCATACTAAGAAAACAATTTTTCCAAAAATGCAGAAGATGCTGGTGGTGCAAGTAATTTAGAGGCTAGTTTTTTTAGCAGAAGCTTTTTTTAATTTTTTTAACTAGCCACTTGGTATTACTAATACTAACTGGTTGGTTATCTAAAGAAACCATCATAGCTATTTTTTTATGTATTTGCTTTGATTTTCATCTTTATTATTTTATATTTATTTGATCGCATACTTTAATTAATATTAACTTTAAATTTTAAACGAAAAACCAATTGTCTACTTTTGATGGACATTTGCTTTTTCCTTTCACGCATTTTCTTTACAATTAACAAGCTACCTTTTGAACAATATTGTGAAGTGTGAAGAATTCGAAGGTAAAGTTTTATTTATTCAAAGGTAAGGTAAAGTTTTATTTATTAAGGTAATTATTTTAGTGGTGTTATAAAAAATGATTTTTGATTGTACATAGACTTTAGAATGTTTACCCTGACGATATATACGCATTGAATATACTCATAAATGTTGAATATACTCTTTTATATATATATATATATATATATATATATATATATATATATATATATATATATATATATATATATATATATATATATATATATATATATATATATATATATATATATATATATATATATATATATATATATATATATATATACAGCGGTGGCCAAAAATTAAAGACCACTCTTTCTTTTTTCAAAATTTATTTTTAACCTTAATATAATTTTATTTTGGAAAAAGATAACAAAAAAAGAAAAATATTTTTAGAAAGAATCTTTATTGTATTTTATATTTATTGTAAAAGAATTTATAATTTTGTTACAAAATAATGTTAAAAAATTAAAAAACTGACTGTAAAAAATATAAATAAACCCATCTTGCAACTGCCATAAATCAATGCTAGGAATAAGCGAGTTTTCCAAAATTTCGATGTACCTTTCTTTGTTGAATCTACCATCGAATAAATAAAAAACGCAAACTCCACAGGCACTCATACAGGCCCAAATGCCAATTGAACCATTGCCTTGTTTTGTTCGTTTCAAAATGCAGGATTCATCGAACCGTTCGCTTGGAAGTCTACGCAATATTACGCGACCTTTTCTGTTGTCTACCTCAACGTTCATTTCATCAGTAAAGACCACACGGCTCCACTGATCTGTTGACCGACTTTTATGTAGTTTGCACCACTCTTTCCTGGCAAATTTTTGTTTTTTATTTAAACCTGGTTTTTTTGCAGCAGCGCGCCATAAATAATTTAAATTGTGGAGGACTCTTCGCACAGTTCTAGGGCTTGCTTTCAGACCATCTGACAGTGTCCATTTTGTAGGCAAGTCTGTAGATGATGCTTGTCTGTTTTCTTTCATTAATCTCACTAACGAGCGAACATCACGGTTATTTGAAATTTTATTGCGTCCAGTCCTATGACGATCATTAATTGACCCAGTCTCTTTGTATTGTTGAATTATGTTAATAATGCAAGAGTGAGACCTTCCGAGTTTTCTGCTATTTGTCTGATGCTATAGCCTTCTTCTTTTAATACAAGAGCCGAGTATCTGTCTTTTTCTTCGATCTTTGCACGCATTTTCGCAATATTTTTTTATCCTTATTGCAATTCAAAAAATAAATGTTTATTTGATAAGTTAAACGCTATTTAATTAGAATTAGATTTAAAAAATTATACCATTTTAATCCGTATGTTTTAATTAACAAGATATTAAAAAAAAAATTTAATATGTCAATTAGAATATTCTTAATTTTGATTTAAAGATTAAGAAACCAAATAAAAAATGAGTGGTCTTTAATTTTTGGCCACCGCTGTATATATATATATATATATATATATATATATATATATATATATATATATATATATATATATATATATATATATATATATATATATATATATATATATATATATATATATATATATATATATTGTGAATTTATTTGCCTTCAATAAAAGAAATTATAGTTACAGAATAGTTAAAGTCCATTTCAAAGACAAATCAAATTTTGGCAAAACTATTTTATTCCATAAATAAGGTCCGCAAAGATTTTTTTTATGGGTTTTTTTCGATTGCAAAGATTGTATTTGTTTATGGGTTTAAGAGTCATTTTTTGTAAGAATCAGGCAGTCAATGGAAGTGACCTCGTCCAAATTTTTTATATATTGATCAGAATATAGAGAAAACCTGTTGGGGAAAAAAAAAAAATTCAAAAATGTTTCGTTCACTCGGAATCTGGGCTTAAATTTTTGAGATTTTTTTAAAAAATTTTAGAAATTTAGTTTTTGCCACCTTTGAACCCATTTTTTTGGCAAGGCAAAAAGTTGCACATAGCTTTTGTAGTTAATATCAGACGTAACCCATAAGCTCTCTCCAAAAAATATAAAAAAGTTGCGTGACACTCTGCGGTTGGCTAATTATCATAGTTCAAAAGTACAAAATCAATCAGTTTTGTCAATTTTTAATCAGAGTTAATTCTAGCGGCGAAGTGTTGCACACAATTTTTCTTTTAGGATTTGAAATTATTAAAGGTATTGAGTCTAAAAATGCAAAGAAAGTTATGTGATACCTAAGGCCTATTAATATATTAAGGCTTGAAATTGGAAAAAAATGTTATAGTATACTTACAAAATGAGCTATTACGGCAGAGGCGCTAAGTTTTGTAAAAATATAATCATGTTAAATGGTCAATATAAGATGACCCTAACATAGTTTAAAACAAAACTCAAGTGATCTTTAGATATTAAGTTAAAAATAAAGGTACAAATTGTTAAAAATGATTAAGTACGAAGAGATATTTTTTTGGACACACAGATGAGGTTTTCGCTCACAATAAAATTTCTATCATCCAAAATTAGCAATTAGCATTACACAAAACATTGCACGTAATGTTAAGAAAAAATTTAAGCGTTTCTGACTATGATATAGAAATCATAACAATTGAAATAAATAATAATAAAAAACAATACATGATCAGAAGTGAATTATTTAAATTTACGTCATAACCAAATAACTTGTGGTGATCGAATGGAAGAAGAATCGCTGATATCACGATTGTGGAGAAACAAGTTAGTGGGCGGTTGTTTACTTTACCATAAAAATGTCTTAACTTTATTTTAACGATCTTTAAAATTTGCATAAATAGAGTAGATATTTTATCATTGCTATTGAGAAATAGGTACTGCATAAATAGAACTTGTTTTTAGTTGAGTACGGAACAAAACAAATATTTTTATGAAAACTGTTGTTGCTTTTCAAAAGGAAATTGTGGATCATTCAAAAAACATAAAATTATAAACAAAATGTTTTACATTTATCAGCTGGGAGATGTTGATGTTAAGAAACACCTCATCAACTTAAAGGTAATTATGTATTTTAAATTTACGCAGGCTGTAATATAATTTTTATAGTTACATACTTTATAACTTCTCTGCAATAAGATTTTGAGACAAAGTTTTTTAAACAAAAAAAATAGTTCTTTTAATTAATTCCTCACTTTTTTAATAAATAATCACTAAATTAATCACACTCTTGCAATATTGTATTTTAATAATAACAACAATGTATTTCAAACTTGTAAACATTTTTCGTGAAGAGTCAGATTATAAACAATGCTTTAAATGACACACTTAATAATTGTTTGAAAAATTGTTTTTAGGTCATGCGATTAAACGATAATAATATTTGGGAAGAAAATGGACTTATTGCAAATAGACTTAAAAGAAATCTTGAAAAGGATGAACAAATATGTGCTTTTCACCGGTACACGTTTGGTATTGCATGGAGTCCTCCAAAAACATGCTTTCATCCTCACCATCTAAATATAAAAGGAAAAAAATCTCATGCTTTAAGGGCGTCACCAATACATGTCGTCATATCAATGTCAAAGCGATACAATGAAGTATTTTCAGTTGGTGCAATGCTGTGTTTTACCCATTTAAAGCGAGAAACTGCTTTATCTAGAGTCAACAAAAACACCAATTTATGTACAGAAACACAACAAGAACAAACATATATGACACCTGCTACTCCAGATGAAGAATTTGATCCCGGTGAAATTAATGTTTCACAGGAGATTTTGGACGAATCTCTAAGAAGCCGTGAGAGTGTAACTGAGGTTCTTAATGCAAGTCCAATAAAATTTAGATTAAAAAGGAAGTTCGAATATTTGGAAGATACTACTAAAGATAAGTTAAAACGCAAGTATGTTCGCCTAGAAAACTTATTAAAGAAAAAATTTGCGGAAGCTGTTGCTCCTGGACAAGAGGAAATACTTATAGATTTTCTTAACAGTAAAAATGTTGATGAAATAAATAGCCCTCTCCCAATTGAAATTATTCGTGCTCAGAAAGTATATAAGCAAAGTGATTCCATGGAAAATTAGTTATCCTCTCATTATTAGACCATACCAAGTATACCAAAAAGTTTATAATGAACACATTTGAGTGTACCAAACATCGTATAGAAACAGCAAGAAAATGGCATACATCTCATAAAGGGTTGGCATTTCCAGAGAAGAAAGTATTCGTCCGATCTAGTCTTGATCAAACAAATTGTGAACATTTCTTAGACTTTATATTTACAAGCGGTATTTTGCATGATGTTGCTTATGGAATAACCAAATTAAAATACGACAGTGGTGAAGAACAAAAGATAGTGCATGCAATACTGACGACAAAATATAGCCACGCTATCATGTTCTATCGAAAAGGTTGTAGTGAAAACAATTATATACCATTATCTGATTCAAGTTTGTGAAAAGTATTGCATGCAATAAAACCTTCAAGTCGAAAAAGCTTAGCTGGATTAGATGATCTTACTGCTTCAGGCATGAATGGTTTTCAAACATTACAAAAATTGGCACAAAGATTTAGTTCTAAATCTCTCGAAGCTGCCCTTGAAAAAGGAAAAAGGTATTTGAAAACAAGTTATCAAACCAATTGTAGTGTCAATGACTCAAACATTTCTTCTCATAGCTCAAAACATGCCTTATCAGATCCATCTGAAAAAAATCTTCAATCCAACACAGAGATATCAGAAGTGGTATGTGCCAATTGCTATGATTTGTGCAAAGCTATCGAGATGATCAAAGAACTAACAATTCAAAATTCTGACGATGCTGATTCTATTTATGATTTGGAAATTGCTGTAAAGGATTTATTCAACTACATAAAACACCTGATGAGAGATTCTCAACAAAAAAAGGCAAAAATCGAAGCTTTTAAGCAATTAAACGATGGAACTGCTTTCTGGCTTAAAGATTTTTGTCAAAAAATTCTTCTGGTTTGATACAGAGAGGGCCAAAGAGAGTATTTTGGCAAGAAAGGAATGAGTTTACATGTGGATATATTATTCATAAAAATAGCAGGAAATTTATTCAAACGTGTTTACTTTACTTCAATGTATAGGTGTGATCAGGGAATAGGTGATGTTGTTTCGTTAGCCACTGCAGTTTTAGACCAATTCAGAATTGATCAACCGCATATCAAGAAAATGTTTACCAAATCTGATAATGCCGGCTGCTATCAGGGAAATCTTTCAGCTGAAGCAATCTACAATGTATGCAAAGAGAGAGATATAAAGTTGCTGAGATATGATTATAATGAACCCTGTTGTGGAAAAGATCAATGTGACAGGGAGAGTGCAGTTGTAAAGACAATTTTAAGGAGTTACGTTGACTCTGGTAATAATCTTTTGACTGCTGAAGATATACACAAGGCTATGCATTATAGTTTTGGCGCTAAAAATGCAAAAGTAGCAGTTGCTCAAATTAGCAATGATAAAACTGTAGTTACTGGACCAAAGATTAAGAACATTAGCAACTATCACTCATTTGAGTTTGGTGAGAAAAGTATGAAGATGTGGCGTTATTTCAATATCGGTGAGGGAATTGAACAAGAGTATGGAAATCTTAAAATTCAACCCTCGATTAAGTTGTTGTTGCCATATAGCAAAACAGATAATTCAATTAAGCGTAACAAGTCACTTAAGGAAAAACAGAAAAGAAGTGACAGGCAATTATATTCATTAAGATTTTGCACTGAAATGAATTGTACTTTATCATTTGAAAGCGATGCTGAGTTAGAAAAACACATGCTATCCGGTCTTCATACAGTTCCGAAATCATTAACATCATTGGATAAAGTTCGCAACTCGTTTGTTCATAAGATGAAAATTACTTCACAACTAAATATGCCAATTTCTTCATCCTCTAACAGTGCTTCCGTAAAAGACAAAAGACATTGCATGAGCATTTTTCTATTGCAAGGTTGGGCATTACCAGTTTGAAGTTCTTTTAGATTTTCAAATCAGTAGAAAGAACTGTTGTATAAATACTTTATTCGTGGAGAAGAATCAGGTAATAAAATGAGCCCTGAGCAGGTTCACATGCAGCTGAAGAGAGAACTTCCGCCTGATCAATATGTAACTACCCAACAGATAAGATCTTTATTTTCAAGGTAGGCATTGTTGCTATCAAAGCTTTTGCAAATTAGATTATGTTTCTGACTGTTAAATAGTTCTTTTACAAATATGAAATTAAAATTTAGGTGAAAGTTTTAATTTTGTGTGTTTGTTTACATATGTTTAAAAATATGTACAATTGATATTGTTATAGATTTAGTAACCTGAAAAGAAAAGGTAAGCTGGTAGAACCGACAACAGAAAATAATGAAAATAGTCAGGTTAACGATAACAAAGAAGTTTATGGCGAAAATGATGACTTTAATCTGACAGGAGACAATGAAGATGATAATAAATATGAGGAAAACATCGCCAATCGTGCAAAAGAAATTTGTCTTGTATGGAAAGTGAATGATTGGGTTGCTGTTGCATATGAAAAACAATGGAATATTGGATATATTGTGGAGGTAATATTATTCAAAGTATATATTAGTTTCAAGTTTTTATTTTGTTTTACAAAACAGTGCTCTAAAATAAAAGGAATATAAATAAAATGTAAAAATAATTTCAGAATGACATTATATAAGACTTTACAAGTTTTATTGAATGTAAGCAAAATTAAACAAATCATAAACTCTTTATTATATTATTTTAAATGTTGCGCTAATACTTTTAGGTATCTATAACTGTGATCAGAGTTAATTGTATTATTAACGGGCAAGAGAAGAATACTTTTCGCTGGCCAGTTACTACCGAGGAGATAAATAACCAAACTGATAAAATTATCTGTTTAGTAAATGCTCCTTTTCTAATCAGTGGTTGTGGCGATTATTCATTATCCGAAGAAGACTATAATACAGTCATATCATTATTCTTAGAGAAACTTACTGCAGCAGAGTAGAAATTATGTGTGATGTGGTGGATAATGTGTGTAAATGACTCTATTAATAAATGAAAAACTAATTTTTAAATGGAAAAACATTTAAATGTTTGATTTATGTTTTATTTAATTAGCAATATAGTTATCTTGATGTTAGATTTTTGTTCAGTTTTTTATTCATGTTATATCATGCGTGTGACAAAATCACACGAATTTTTTTTATTATTATGTTAGGACCTTTTTGTATTGATATGTTTTGGATATGTTTACATTTTTACAAAACTAAGCGCCTCTGTCGTAATGGTTCATTTTGTAAGTATACTAAAACATTTTTTTCCAATTTCAAGCCTTAATATATTAATAGGCCTTAGGTATCACATAACTTTCTTTGCATTTTTAGACTCAATACCTTTGATAATTTCAAATCCTAAAAGAAAAATTGTGTGCAACACTTCGCCGCTAGAATTAACTCCGATTAAAAATTGACAAAACTGATTGATTTTGTACTTTTGAACTATGATAATTAGCCAACCGCACAGTGTCACGCAACTTTTTTATATTTTTTGGAGAGAGCTTTTGGGTTACGTCTGATATTAACTACAAAAGCTATGTGCAACTTTTTGCCTTGCCAAAAAAATGGGTTCAAAGGTGGCAAAAACTTAATTAAAAACTTATTTAAACTGCTTTCTTGAAAAATTGCTTTTGAATATATAGTGTTTTGAATATGTAGTTCAGAGCTAAATTCTTCAAGATCTTTATCCTCCAGAATATAGTATGGCTGCAAATCTAAACACATCATCTTTTTAATAATATTAAAAGTTTGAGCCTTAAGGTGTTGTGTTGCCACAATTCTTTTCCGTCAAAATCTTTCGCTGAAAGACTTGAAACAAATTCTAACAAAAAAATTAATAAATAAAACAACTAGTAATTAAGTAATTAAGTAATTAGTACTAAGAACTACTAAAGTTTTAAGTTAATATATTTAAGGTTTTAATTTTTACGTGTTCTTTAATTGATTAGTTATGAAAATTAGTTAATTTAATTTATTAAGTAATAACTAGCGATCAGTAAATAGTAACTTAGTTAGACTTACGTCATTTGTAAGTAAAAATTTTTATGAATAAAAACAATGGAACTAATGAACACATGCAAGCTTCCCTGATTATCCTAGTATCTCTGCCGCTGCTACTTGTTTGAGTTGCATTTGTTTGAACCGTTTCAAATTGTGTAACCGACATAATGTAAATTAAAGTTATATACATATACACACATATACATATAAATATGTGTATGTGTGTGTTTGTTTATGTGTTTTTGTGTATAACAGTTGTTTTTCATTCTCAAGAAATTTTCATAAAATTTTCAGTTTAATGCTAACAATGTTTTATACCAGGGGCAGATGTATTTTGGTGTTTTTTTTTTTTTGTTCCCAGGCTTCAATTACAGGGTTTTTTCAAAGTTGTATGTACACGTTTGCAAAGTTATAAGTGCACGTTTGCAAAGTTATAAGTGCATATATATTTTTTTTAGTTGTAAAAAAAAAAACATTGCGCAAAATATTAAGTTAAATTACATCATAGCGATCAAAAAGCGTTTGTTTTTTATTGAACAAATAGTGATTTAGTGAAAAATCTTTACATTTATACTTATCAATAACTTTTCTAGATTAGATATTTACTTTTCATAAGTTTTAAAAAATAGTATACATTATCTAATCATAAATTTTTAAAAAGGCGTGCAAATTATTTATACATTATTAAAAAAAAAAAAATCATTTCAAATATTTAAATTAATTAAATTCTTTTCCTTATTGCCTTTTCCAATCATTTTCTCATATTTATATAAAAGGTTTTACCCTGCTCGGTGTAGTTAAGGCGATTTACAAAATATTTGAATACTTTTTTTGGAATTAGCATGGTTTTTCAGCATATTATGCCCAAACAAAATCTTTAAATGTTATAATTTATTTTGCTTAAGGTTTTTATAATATTTGAAGAGACTTTTCTTTTTTATATATATTTTTAAAAATCTTTTTACAACCCGTAATAATGTATCTAAAGAACACTATTTTGGAGTCTTTAGATCAATTTCGCTCATCGACATTAACATGAATTTAGTTAAAATCTTTTTAAAAAGTTCCTTAATTTACTACTGATTTCACCTAAAAAACGTATTAATATAAAATCTTATTTAAATTTGGACGAGCGATTGTGATTTTAAGATGATTTTTTTTTTTTTAAAAAAGATTCCACGGTCTGGGTTTTTTCGCTACAAACATTTATATTTTATGATGATGCGCAAAATTTATTATTTTAATTTTTTTCGCCTTTTCATAATTCACAGACCAGACCATTTCACGGAAATATGTCATAATCAACAAAATATCATACAGACGCAATAATATTTAAAAAGTGCCTTAACTACACCGAGTGTTGACTATAATTATTATTAGATGATAAAAGATATTATAAAGTTTTTTCAATAGTCATTCGGGATTAGCATTACTTGGGGATTTGAAATTGGATTTTAACATTAAAAAGAAATCTTCGATTGGGGGTTGGGTCCAATACTGGGGAATATGATACTAAAAAGTTGTAAGTTATATTTTTTTCTCTTAGTAATTGAAGTACTGCTGCTGCTTAATGAAATTTTGCATTATCTAATATAACCTTTTATTTGGATTTACTGTAAAGTAAATCCAAATAAATTTCTTATAATAGATAATGTACTAGTTTGTTGATGATGAAATCAATAAATGATTGTGTATTGTATGCGCTGCTTTCGTAATTCAACTCCTAAATTAGAAATTAAGCACATGAGGGTAACATTGTGACCTTTATTTGCAGAAACTGTAAAGTGTGCTTTTGTATCTTTTGGAAAAAAGCCATATAAGCGTACTGTATGTTTATAGAACCCGGTTTCGTCTAAAAAAAACAAATTTAAATCAGAAATTCTAATAACTTCTGCCGCAAAAAATGATTTCTGGTTTATTCTTTCCATGGTGTTTCTTTCTTGAGGAATAATGGCTAACCTATTTCGTGTCAAATTTAATTTCTTTTATTTACGGGAAACAAACGAGATAAACACGTTTTATTGTGTTGCTCCATTATAAAACGACTAGCAGCATTTCGAGTTAATTTACAGGTGTTGGATATTTCCTTGATGGAATATTTTTCACAATATCTTTTTGAAATAATTGTATTTTTAGTTTCTTCTCTAATTGTTTTCCGTACTTTTCTTTCCATTGCTGATTAAGATATAAGGGTTAAAATTAATTTTATAAATGCACTTATAACTTTGCAAACGTGCACTTATAACATTGCAAAACTCTGTATTATAGCTTTTGGAAATTATTCTTATTTGAAATAAGTATAAACATATAAATGTTTATATTTATTTATCTCAACTACCAAAAGATACTGTGTGTGTTGAAGAATAAACATTTTGCATTTAAAAAAATAAGTTGACATACGATAATCGAATTAATTAAACATGTAGCAGATGCTTTCAACAACGAATATTTTACATTAGGAGTTTTTCTTGATCCATTAAAAGCCTTTGACATTTTACCATGTAAACTATAAGACATGTATGGAATAAAAAATAAAAACTTGTTTGGGTTTGAATCTGTCAAACAGAACACAACCACATAATTTATTAAAATAGCGAAACAGTAAAACGCATTACGTGTGCCCAAAGAAACAATCTTAGAACTACTACTATTTTTATTGTATTTAAAAGATTTATACATAGTATCAAATATTTTTAATATTATATTACTCGCAGACTCCAGTATCAAATATTATATTACTCGCAGACGACTCTAATCTTTTTTTATTCCGACAAAAACACAAAATTTCTCATATATATATTTAGTAATAAAAAAATGAGTGGTTCACAAGTACTAGACTCTCATTAAATGTAGAAGAAATAGAACTGTTCATTGCGAACCTCAAGGAAACTTAAAATCTAAAATGTCTGTAAACTTAATATACACCGATTTTTATTTATGCTTAAACAAAGTATGGACTTTCGCCTAACATATTTTAGTCTTATTTAGGTGAAATCTCTCGTTAACTCCTTAATCAATTTTTAATTAACGTTTTCGTTGTTCCAAGAACTAACTTAAAGCTGTGTTCTTACCAAATTCAATATCGTGGACCGTTTTAAATATTGTGGACCGTTTTAACGGAAACATTTTTCAAAATTAATTAAAAATAAAAAAGTACTGTTCAAATGATTATAATTACATTGTTTTAAAAAACATTTAGAACATTGTTAAAAAAATCAAAGAGTCTTTACATAACTTTGATTTAAGGTGGTCGTCTAGTAAAAAAATAAACAATACAATTTGTTCAAAAGTTTATTTTATTTTTCAACATAAAGAAGTTATATTTGTATTATTAAAAAAAAAAAAAAGTTATTTACGTTTTTTAATGCTGAATTTGCAAAAAGAAAAAGTTTTTTTTTCAAAAAACATCACTTTTTTGAAACAAAGAGTTCTAGTTATCTGTACATTCGTTTTGCATGATATTTGGTCTGCATTTGGTCATGAAATTTGGTCTGCATGATATTTGGTCTGCATTCAGGATATACATAAAATTAGTATGTAAACCAGTAAAATGTTATAATTATGTTTAGATCTATAACGGCAGCTCTATGTATTTGGGGAAATTAAAAAAGGAGTAAAATTCAGCAAAAACTATCCCATCATTTCTAAAACACTCAAAGAATTAAATAGATTCAGGTTCACATACTAACTAATATACAGACAAACAAGCCCTGAAAATTTCATTCAAAAATAATTCATAGAAGCTGAGATATGCTTGTTTTAAGTATGAAATATCACAAACAGAGAAAACTTAAATAAAAAATAAAAAAATTAAAATGATCCTTTAAGAACTACTATTTCCTCCTTCCTGGTGTTTTTCTTTATCAATAAATCCTTTTAAATTTTAAGTTTTTTCATTCTTAAAAAAATTTATATTATCAAGTTTGGTTCATAATATAAATTTATTATAAAACAAACTAAATAAAAAATCGACCAAAAAACATTTTTGTTAAGGAAGTTGCTAAGGGAACAAACCAACACGTCGTTAGAGGAAGTAAATGTTGCAAAACTTAAAAAACATGTGTTAAAGTATTTTCTAAAAGAG